ACATCCACGGGAAGGAACTAAAACACATCAGAGGATGCAATGGGAGTCACAGTGGGAGGTGGAAAGGAGAGATCCGTGTTTGTCTATGGGCTTAGACGAAGCTAAAGGGGAAACTATGATGAAAGAAAGCAGGAGGAGAAAAAGGCGATTGAAGACATCATGAAGGTGATAGGCGAGGGGGACATGACCCAGGTGGCAAATTTTCGGAGAATTGGGTGGTTCACAAAGAAAAGGAATTGGCCTCTCAAAGTAATTTTCAAGGCAGAATCAACCCGAACCATGATCCTGCAGGAGAAAGCACGGCTGAGAGGCAAGCAGGAGTTCCGGAGTGTGTACCTCGACCGAGACAGAACACAGGACGAAAGGAAGACAATGAAAGAGAGAGTTCAAAAACGAAAGGAGAAATGGGAGGAAATGAAAAAGGAGAGCAGAATAACCCAGGATCAAATGGAAGGACAAGCGCACCCCCCCAGAAAACACCTGCAGAAGGACCCCAGCCACGACACCCCCAAGGCAACTGAACAATCCAAACCAACCATCACACACCGATCCCTCTGTTTCCACCCCCCGCACCACAGTTACAGTATTAGAACAGAAGTTGAAGGTTTGGTACACAAATGCAGATGGATATAAACGAATAAACATGAGGAATGGCAAGAAAGAATCAATGAGAAGTCCCCAGACATCATAGCAGTTACAGAAACAAAACTCATGGAGACAATAACAGATGCAATCTTCCCACCAGGATACCAGATCATGAGGAAAGATAGAAGGGGCAGGGGGGGAGGTGGGGTTGCTCTGCTCGTAAAAAACAGATGGAAATTCGAGGAAAATGGAAGAATAGATGAGACGGGAGAAAGAGACTACATAGCAGGTACACTTCAGTCAGGGGAACACAAAGTGGTCATTGCAGTGATGTATAATCCACCACAGAACTGCAGGAGGCCAAGAGAGGAAAATGAAGAGAGCAACAGAGCAATGGTGGACACACTTTGTGAGGTGGCAAGAAGAGCTCACTCCAGCAGAAGCAAAGTTGCTGGTTATGGGGGATTTCAACACAGGGAGATTGATGGGAAAACCTGGAGCCACATGGGGGTCCCGAAACATGGAGAGCCAGGATGTTGGACGGGGTGCTGGAAAACCTCATGCACCAACATGTTAAGGACACTACCAGAGTGAGAGGGGAGGATGAACCAGCAAGATTGGACCTTGTGTTCACCCTGGGCAGCTCAGACATTGAGGACATCAAGTATGAGAGTCCCCTAGGAGCTAGCGACCACGTGGTTCTGTGCTTTGAATACATAGTAGAGCTGCAAGTGGAGAGAATAACAGGAGTAGAATGGGAAAAACCTGACTATAAAAGAGGGGACTACATAGGGTTTGAAGAACTCCTGCGGGAGGTCAGTGGGACAGAGAACTGGCAGGAAAGCCAGTAAATGAAATGATGGAATATGTAGCAACAAAATGCAAGGAGGCAGTGGAAAGGTTCATTCCCAAGGACAACAGTAACAATGGGAAGACCAGAACAAGCCCCTGGTTCACCCGACGGTGTAAGGAGGCAAAAACAAAGTGCAATAGAGAATGGAAAAAGTACAGAAGGCAGAGAACACACGAAAATAGGGAGATCAGTTGCAGAGCCAGGAATGAGTACGCACAGGTAAGGAGGGAGGCCAAGCGACAGTATGAAAATGACATAGCATCGAGAATCAAGACTGACCCGAAACTGTTGTATAGCCACATCAGGAGGAAGACAACAGTCAAAGACCAGGTGATCAGATTAAGGACAGAAGATGGAGAACTCACAAGAAATGATCAGGAGGTATGTGAGGAGCTGAACAGGAGATTTAAGGAAGTTTTTACAGTAGAGACAGGAAGGGCTGTGGGAAGACAGAACAGAAGGGAACATCAAGAGGGAATATACCAACAAGTGTTGGATGACATACGAAACAACTGAGGAGGAGGTGAAGAAGCTCTTAAGTGACCTTGACCACTCAAAGGCGATGGGACCGGACAACATCTCCCCATGGGTCCTTAGAGAAGGAGCAGAGATGCTGTGTGTGCCTCTAACCACAATCTTCACACATCCCTTGAAACTGGGCAACTACCTGAGAAATGGAAAGAGAGCTAATGTAGTCCCCATATTTAAGAAAGGAAACAGAAACGAGGCACTAAACTACAGACCTGTGTCTCTGACATGTATCGTGTGCAAAGTCATGGAGAAGATTATCAGGAGGAGAGTGGTCGAACACCTGGAAAAGGAACAAGATTATAAATGAAAACCAGTATGGGTTCATGGAAGGCAAATCTTGTATCACAAACCTCCTGGAGTTTTATGACAAGGTAACAGAAGTAAGACACGAGAGAGAGGGATGGGTAGATTGCGTTTTCCTAGACTGCAGGAAGGCCTTTGACACAGTTCCCCACAAGAGATTAGTGCAGAAGCTGGGGGATCGGGCACAAGTAAAAGGAAGGGCACTGCAATGGATAAGGGAATACCTGACAGGGAGGCAGCAACGAGTCATGGTACGTAAAAGAGGTATCACAGGGGGCGCCTGTTACGAGGGGGGGTCCCACAGGGGTCAGTTCTAGGAACCAGTGCTATTTTTGATATATGTGAACGACATGATGGAAGGAATAGACTCTGAAGTGTCCCTGTTCGCAGATGACGTGAAGTTGATGAGAAGAATTAAATCGGACGAGGATGAGGCAGGACTGCAAAGAGACCTGGAGAGGCTGGACATGGGTCCAGTAACTGGCTTCTCGAATTCAATCCAGCCAAATGCAAAGTCATGAAGATTGGGGAGGGGCAAAGAAGACCGCAGACAGAGTATAGGCTAGGTGGACAAAGACTACAGACCTCACTCAGGGAGAAAAGACCTTGGGGTGACCATAACACCGAGCACATCACCGGAGGCACACATCAACCAAATAACCGCTGCAGCATACGGGCGCCTGGCAAACCTGAGAATAGCGTTCCGATACCTTAATAAGGAATCGTTTCAAGATACTGTACACTGTGTATGTTAGGCCATACTGGAGTATGCAGCACCAGTCTGGAACCCACACCTGGTCAAGCACGTCAAGAAGTTAGAGAAAGTACAAAGGTTTGCAACAAGGCTAGTCCCAGAGCTCAAGGGAATGTCGTACGAGGAAAGGTTAAGGAAATCGGACAGACGACACTGGAGGACAGAAGGGTCAGGGGAGACATGATAACGAACATACAAGATACTGCGGGGAATAGACAAGGTGGACAGAGATAGGATGTTCCAGAGAGGGGACACAGGGACAAGGGGTCACAACTGGAAGCTGAAGACTCAGACGAGTCACAGGGACGTTAGGAAGTATTTCTTCAGTCATAGAGTTGTCAGCAAGTGGAATAGCCTAGCAAGTGAAGTAGTGGAGGCAGGAACCATACATAGTTTTAAGAAGAGGTATGACAAAGCTCAGGAAGCAGAGAGAGAGAGGATCCAGTAGCGATCAGTGAAGAGGCGGGGCCAGGAGCTGAGTCTCGACCCCTGCAACCACAATTAGGTGAGTACAATTAGGTGAGTACACACACACACCGAGTATAGGCTAGGTGGCCAAAGACTGCAAACCTCACTCAAGGAGAAAGATCTTGGGGTGAGTATAACACTGAGCATGTCTCCGGAAGCACACATCAACCAGATAACTGCTGCAGCATATGGGCGCCTGGCAAACCTGAGAACAGCATTCCGATACCTTAGTAAGGAATCGTTCAAGACACTGTACACCGTGTATGTCAGGCCCATACTGGAGTATGCAGCACCTGTTTGGAACCCGCACTTGATAAAGCACGTCAAGAAACAAGAGAAAGTACAAAGATTTGCCACAAGGTTAGTTCCAGAGCTAAGGGTAATGTCCTATGAAGAAAGATTAAGGGAAATCGGCCTGACGACACTGGAGGACTGGAGGGTTAGGGGAGACATGATAACGACATATAAAATACTGCGTGGAATAGACAAGGTGGACAAAGACAGGATGTTCCAGGGAGGGGACACAGAAACAAGAGGCCACAATTGGAAGTTGAAGACACAAATGAGTCAAAGAGATATTAGGAAGTATTTCTTCAGTCATAGAGTTGTAAGGCAGTGGAATAGCCTAGAAAATGACGTAGTGGAGGCAGGAACCATACAAAGTTTTAAGACGAGGTTTGATAAAGCTCATGGAGCGGGGAGAGAGAGGGCCCAGTAGCAACCGGTGAAGAGGCGGGGCCAGGAGCTAAGACTCGACCCCTGCAACCACAAATAGGTGAGTACACAAGAACAGAGTTGCCCTTAAGACTGACCGTATGATTCCCTTGTTGTCAGTGCTTCAGCGATGCCCATGAAGAAGTTCTTGTGGCTCTGAGTGCCATATGGTGCCAGGAAGAGGATATTAGCGGCCTCTCCTTCTTGCACCGCCAGTACCAACGCCAGCACCACCGCCGCTGTGAAATTCCACCACCGCATCTGGTGACAAAATGACGGCACATGATGTCAACTAACCCTCCAGGGAAAGAGGTGAGGAACCCACATGCTCTTTGATATAAGGAATTAAAGCTACCTCCCACTTCCTTGGATCAAACGTAAAGGCTACGAAGGTTTCCATAAAAGATATATTCACTGGCAGGTGTGTACAGAAGACTGCCTTGAAAGATATATTCACTGGCAGGTGTGTACAGAAGACTGCCTTGAAAGATATATTCACTGGCAGGTGTGTACGGAAGACTGCCTTGAAAAATATATTCACTGGCAGGTGTGTACAGAAGACTGCCTTGAAAGATATATTCACTGGCAGGTGTGTACAGAAGACTGCCTTGAAAGATATATTCACTGGCAGGTGTGTACGGAAGACTGCCTTGAAAAATATATTCACTGGCAGGTGTGTACGGAAGACTGCCTTGAAAGATATATTCACTGGCAGGTTGTGTACAGAAGACTGCTTGAAAGATATATTCACTGGCAGGTGTGTTCATCTAAAATGGAACTTGACACACTAACCTTTCCGGGACTGCAGATGTTTGAAATAGGTCAGGCTAGTGGAAGAGCTATGCTGTAGGATTCTATAGCTGAGCTATGTAACTGTTGACCTATGTTACTGTAGTGCTATGTTGCCATAGAGCTATGTTTCTACAGAACTCTGTTTCATAACAATGTTCTTGTTGGGCTATGCTTTAAAAGTTCTGTTCTAAAGCTATGTTCCAGAGTTCTGCTGAACAGCAATTCAGTAGAAACTGTTGTTAAGCTTTTTGTGTGCAGAGCTAGGCTGTAGAAGTCTGTTGTAAAGCTGTGCGGATTGCAGAGCTATGCTGCAGAACTTCGCTGTAAAGCTACGTTGCCATAGAACCGTCTTGCTGAGCATGCTGTTACACAGAGACGTGCATAACTATTTTAGAACAATATGCAGAGGTACACAGTAGAAACTCTCCGTGAAAGCAGTGTTACAGAGCTCTGCTGCCACAGCTATACTGCACAGCTATGCTACACAACACAGTCGTGCTGGGGGTAGCTGTGAGATAGTGCAAGAGAAGACCTTGGTATTATCACCACTCATTGGCTACCTACTATTATCAACACCCTCTTTAAAATTAATTACAACTCTTATCCCCAGGTTATCTCTGAATGCTGTCACTTCTCTCTAGTCATAACTCCCCATCAACTCCCGATGATTACCGAGTACTCATGTCGGGGTAGTCAGCATGAGATATCAGCCTTGTGAGGGGGGAAAGTTCGTAGATATAAGTGGAAGTATGAATGAGTGGCGGTGGTGGTGTATAACTGGTTGAATGTATCTTCTTCAAAGGGCGTATCATTACCTCTCTCTCCATCCGGTGGGAGTTAACATGGGACCCTCCTGGCGAATTGACATTACTTGGATTTCTGCTCCCATCAAGTCTGTGAGTATTGAGTTCCACTCTTGTTTGATATATATATATATTTTTTACCGGGCCTGATTTGGCTTACATATTTTAACAAAATTTTTCTTAATCCTCAAAATTTCTTTTAAAGGCCTTCAGCCTATCATGTGAATGACTATGTGTCCGGGTTTTAAGTTTTTATTCTCTGTTCCTAGCCTTGTTGATCTGACTGGGTCACTCGACACTGGTGAGATAAGACTGGCAGTTTGGTCTAGACAATAGATCAGAAACGTTACCTCATCTTCAATGGAAACACAGAAGTGTGTCACTTGTGCAACTTACACTGGTCAACAATTCTTGAAAAGTTGGAGTCTTCTTAAATGAGATTAGTTAATTATTTTGTATTTTCATAACCTGAATCCAAATATCGCCTTGAAAAATGCTTATTGGCTATAGGTATAAAGATACAAGACATGTAATATTTGATTATTAAAAACGTACAATATGTGTCAGTGTGTTTTAAACGCTTATAGTGGGCTGAAGAATCATCTCTTGCCAATTTCAAGCAATAGTCTGCAAGCATTCTTGTGCCCCATTTGCCCTGGTACCATTTTCCATGGTTGAAATATCTTGTGAAACCTTTCATCATGTTCGTCACTAACTACCTTAGAGTTCGCTGGGAAAAAATGTCTAAATGTGAGTCCAAAAGGGATTTTAACTGACATGTGACATCCCATGTTCTTCTAAGCCTTGATGAGGTTTTCCACCAATTCTTCATAGTTGCCTTCCTTTCTGTTTCCCAGAAATCCCTTCGCCACTAACTTGAATGTTTCTCAAGCAGCTTTCTCCTCCCCATGAAGGTCTGGTTTCAAAGTCATCATCTTTGAAAAGGTCTCGAATCTGAGGACCATTGAAGACTCTCTTTCTTAGTGTCGTCAGTGAGGGAAATTTTAATGTTAAATAATTGAATCCCTGACCGGATTTGTCCATAGCTTTTACGAAGTTCTTCATGAAGCCCCAGTTTTGCGTACATTGGTGGTAGTAAAATTTTGTTTTGGTTCAATAAGAGGTGGATGTTGAACATTTTTCATCCCAGGCTCCAATGATTGACGAGATGGCCAGTCTCTCCTGATGTACTGGGAGTCTCTTGCAACGGCTGTCCCATTCATATAGAGAACAGCAGAACTTGGTGTATCCGCCCTGCAAGACCATCACAAGAGCAACAGCCAAAGAAAATCCCTTACCTTTCATCTCAAAATATAAACCATCTTCTATGACTGCTGGAACAATAATGAAGGTCAGTGAGAGTGTGAATGTGGTATGAAACACACTGCCGTAAGCGTGTTGGAACCTGTTGTGACATGTAGATGTATACTGAAAACAAGGGCTAACAAACAATTTTAACCTTGTGTCTACAAGAGCGCAGAGTCTTTGAAAAATCCCAGTCCCTAAATTGCCATCATTTGATGCATAAACCTCAAATCTACTAATTCTTGTGTTATATATATTAAAAATCACTTCCCCATCAACTTCTTGCACATAAGAAAACAGAGGGGCTACAGTATCACTGTGTTAGGATTTATATAGGGAACTCTGCTCTCAACATATTTAACTTGTATGCTCCTGCTGATAAGTTTAATTACTTGGAGCTCCCAACTTGTGCTCAGTCTGAGCCTACTCTTATTATTGGTGATTATAATGCAAGACACAGAAGGATTGGAAACTCAGAGTTTGGTAATCGTAATGGTAATCAACTGTTGTCACTCTTAAACAGTATTGATAATGTTCAAATTGTAGGTGACCTTGAACCCACACATATCTGGGAGGCGTCCTTGATCTGTGCCTGGACAACAGGCCAGTGTTACTACCGGTAGTTATTAAGCAGTAAGAATACTTAGAAAGATAGGAATTCCTCACTCAATGTGAACAAGGGAAAATGATAATAACCAGCAACAATTAACACGTATAATTCCAGAAAGGCAAATAAGTGAGAGAGTAGCATATTTGGGAAGAATAAATGATACTAAATTTGTGCCCACACACGGATCTTTCACCACACCTCCCCCCCCTAACCTCCCTTCCTCACACACAAGCACACAGCACACAAGGAAGACACTCTCCCAACACACAACACTACATATTGTGAACAAGGAAAATGTAATAACCAGCAACAATAACACATAAATCCCAAAAGGGCAATAATGAGAGAGTAATATGGGAAGATAAAATGAAACTAAATTTGTGACTACACGACGATCTTTTCAACCACACCAACCCCCCCTAACCCTCCCTCCCTCCACACACAACACACACACACAAGGGTAGACACTCCACACACACACACACACACACATACACAAAATACACCACATACACACAAATACACCACACATACATAAACACATACGTAATCACAAACCACACACACAAACACAAACACACACACACACACAACACACACACAACACACACACACACACACACATACAAACGAAAAAACACACACTACACACACACACACACACACACACACACACACACACAACACCCATACTACCACACACACAGCACACACCACACACGCACACACCACACCACACACACACACGCCCAGCACATACACAACGCACACACACACACACACACGCACATACACACCCAAAACACACACAACACACATACACACACACACACATACACACACACATACACCACACACACACATACACACACACACACAGACACACATACACACACACACATACACACAGAAGAGCAGTATCGCTAAATAGTGCTCCCAGATTTTAGCGTTCTAGTGGCTGTCCTAAGATTTAATTAAGCGGTCATCACGTGAGTGAAATCAGTGAACATACTACAAGAGTGTAATAGCCATTCAAGATGCGAATAATGTGATAGGATCAAGAATTTAAACATTTAAATTTGATGATTTTGAGGAGGAGGGTAGCAGTCAGCTGATCAGGCTACTGCCGCAGTGTTTGACACAAAGATCCAAACAGTTAATTGGGTTATCGGTGTGAATCTGAATTATTAACAAATACATTGTTGGTTGATTATAGCAAGCAGTGTAGTGATAAGGTCATAAAAAGTGATTAAGTAAATACTGAAAGTAAGAAAAATTAGTCCAATCCCCCCCGTTGTGTTTGTGAATGTTAAGCTAACATCATCAGACTTTGTATATGACCATAATACTGTACTAAAAAAAAGAGGATACCAGTCCTAAAAGAAAAAAAAATATAAACTTGAAATGCATGATAAAGTTTCCTGAAGGAGTTTCAAAAATTGAAGAGTTGATAGATGACCAGCAGGAACCTCCATTGTTGTGCTACGACCATCACTTCCCTATTTGTGGTTAATTGGTTATGTCAAAGTCACAAGTGTCCGCGCTGCTGGTTGTATGCTATAACCCATCCTGCTCAGCCCTATTTCAGTACCAGAATAGATAGTGGTTAGTAAAATTATCTAAATATCGCCAGTAAACTCCAGAAGAGTTGTGTAGCCTAGTGAACCCCCCCCCCCCCGTTTTTCTGAGGGAACAAGCTAGTGAAACAAGTTCGCACAACAAACACACTGTGGCACCCGTAAGTATTGTATAATAAACAGTATAAAATTATAAGGAATTGAGTAGAAAAAATAATACTATAATCTTCAAAAGTAAAGTAGCGTAGTGTGGCGCGAGACTGGTGCCGGAAGTACCGGTGAAACAACAACAATAACAAAATAGTGTTAACGTGACCCCCCCCCCTCTTCTCAAAGAACGACAAGCTAGTAACACAACACCACACAACAAACATAAGTGTAATAAAAAAAAAAAACCGCCCAATTAATATATATAGTATATATTAGTGCATATTAATAAAGGAATGATTGTGAAAATTTTTTTTTATAATCTCAAAAGAGAAGCGTAGCCTAGTGTGCGCACGCACATCCAACACACCCACAACACCACAACACACCCACACACACCTCACACACTCCCACACACACCCACCCACACCCACACACACCCACACACCCCACACACCCACACAACATACCACACCCACAACACCCACACACACCCACACACCCACACACACCCACCCAACCCCACACTACCCTACACCAACACCCACCCACACACACCAACCCACACACCCACCCACACACACCAACCACACACCCACCCACCCACACACGTCAACCCACACACGCGCACCACACACCCCCACCACACCCCACACCACACACTCCCACACACACCACACACACCCACAACATCCCACACAACACCCACGACACCGCACCGACCCACCCACACCCACCCACACACCCCACCCACACACCCCCCCACACACACCCACACACACCCAACACAC